TGCTTGCCAGTAGCGCTTGCCTTGCAGCGTTACGATCTTGCCGAAGCCGGGAGCGGGCAGGTGGACAGCGGCGACGGGTAGCCCCTCGCTTTCCAGGCGGTCCAGTACCGTCTGCCGGGTAGAAATCGCCAGGTCGGGTATGATGTCGGCGCGTGAAGCCCAGTCGGTCTGCTGGATCTGCGCCGTGTTGTGCAGCACGTCGCCCAGAATCATGCCGCGTTCGCCGCCGGAGTTGATCATAATGCTCATGTGGCCGGGCGTGTGCCCGGGGGGGTTGGCAGCGTGGTCAGCTCGCTGGTGATGCTGAACTCTCCTTCCATCCACTCAACGAGACCCATTTCGGCGATGGGCCAGACGCAATCGGGGGCGTTGGGGAAACGGTCGGGTTGGAGGGCCGGGTCGTGGCTCGCCTCGTAATCCGCCCTGCTGAAATAATACCGGGCGTTGGGGAAGGTGGGCGTCAGCGTATTGCCGTCGTCGCGGACGGTGTTCCAACCCACGTGGTCGCGGTGTAAGTGGGTCATCACTACGGCGTCGATGTCGCCGGGGGAGACGCCGTTGCGAGCCATGTCATCCAGCAGCTCTCCCCAAGGAGTCTCGGGGGTTTCCTTGGCGCCGAGGCCGGTGTCAACCACGATGGTTTTGCCGTCGGAACGCAGCAGGAAACAGGCCAGGTTGAAGCTGACCTTGCGGTCGGGCGTAAGGTGGTCGTGAAAAGGCTCCCATTGTTCAGCTGGTATGTCGGGGAAGAAGTTGCAGACGTCAAATTCCAGGATACCGTCAGACAATGAGGAAATCTCCACGTTGCCGATGGTAAGTTTGCTCGCGGTCATAGTCCCTCCGGATGCGGTTGATTGCCGGCATTCTACCATCTGCCCGACCGGTGCCGGAGCACCGTAACGCCGGCCCATCGCAACGCCAAGGGGGGATTGAACGCGACTGAAACGTTGGGCTGGACGAGCCTCGGGCAGGCCAGGGTGAGCGGAGGTTTTTTCACGTGGATTGTTGGTTCGCCCTGTTGGTTGGCCCTGGAGGTTATGGGTGATGCGTTGCCTATCGGAATCCGTTAGGCTATTCTTTTGGGCGCGCATTGAGGCGTGCTCGTGCCCGCTAACGATCGGGTAAACGCTGATCCACATAGAACACCGCTGTTCCACATAGAAGACCAATGAAAGGAGAATTATCCGATGGCACTTTGGAGGCCCGATCCCACGTTTTACCCATCAGCACGGTTGGCAATGGAAGCTCCGCCCGAACGCCTGGCGTATGTTGCGGTGCTCAACCCCAATTCTGGCGAACCTGATGCCATGACCGTGGTGGACTGCGACCCGAAATCTGCTTCATACGCGCAGGTTGTGAACTCGGTGCCGATGCCCCATCTCGACGACGAGCTGCATCATTTCGGATGGAACGCCTGCAGCGCGGCGTTGTGCCCTTCGTCGGCGCACCCGCACCTGGAGCGGCGCTATCTGGTGGTGCCCACGTTGGGCTCGAGCCGTATCTACATCATAGACACCCAACCCGACCCGGAACGCCCTCGCATCGTGAAAACCATCGAGAAAGGAGCAGGTGCAGCGGGCCGGGTACAGCCGCCCGCACACCGTGCACTGCGGGCCCGATGCCATCTACGTGAGCGCGCTGGGAGCAGCCGACGGTGGTTCACCCGGCGGTGTGATGTTGCTGGACCACTACACCTTTGAGCCCACCGGGCCCTTGGAGCTGGACCGCGGGCCCCAGCAATTGTCCTATGATTTCTGGTGGCACATCGGCCTGGATACCATGGTAACCAGCGAATGGGGCACCCCGGAAATGTTCGAAAACGGTGCCCGGCTAGACGACATCGTAGCTCAGAACTACGGGCATCACATCAATTTCTGGGACATGAGAAAGCGCACCCACCAACAGGCGGTTGACCTGGGAGCGCAGCACCAGATGGCCCTGGAACTGCGACCGGCTCACAACCCGACTCGCCACTACGGTTTCTGCGGCGTGGTCGTAAGCACGGAAGACCTTTCCGGTTCGATTTTCCTGTGGCATCGCGATGGCGACCAGTGGGCCGCCACCAAGATAATCTCCATCCCCGCCGAGCCGGCAGATGCGTCGGTTCTGCCGCCGGCCCTGCAACCGCTGGGCGCGGTGCCGCCATTGATCACCGATATCGATCTGTCACTCGACGACAAGTTCCTGTATGTGTCGTGCTGGGGAACAGGCAAGCTGCTCCAGTACGATGTTTCCGACCCGTTCAATCCGGTGCAAACCGGCGAAGTGGAGATGGGCGGCGTGGTACGGAAAGCGGCTCATCCCACCGGCGCTCCGCTCTCCGGCGGCCCGCAGATGGTGGAGATCAGCCGGGACGGACGGCGGGTCTACCTGACCAATTCGTTGTATTCCACCTGGGACGACCAGTTCTATCCGGATGGCCTCAATGGATGGCTGAGCCTCATTGACGTGAACCCGGAGGGTGGCATTGCGGTCAACCGGGAATTCTTTATCGACTATGGCAAGTCACGGGCGCACCAGGTGAGGTTGCAGGGCGGCGACGCTTCTTCGGATACCTTCTGCTTCCCGTAGGGGTGCTATTCGCGTTGACCAGTCCACCTCGTGTTGCGTGGGCCGGTCGGCTGATTAGAGACACGTTCAGGTCGCCGCGTTTGGTATGCAGGTAGTGTGGTTGCACGTCCTGATACCGGACCCGGCGGCTCTGTCGTCGTTGGGGCCGTGGTTGGGGTTGGTCGCGCTGGGCCTGTTCCACGGACTGAACCCGGCAATGGGGTGGTTGTTCTCCGTCTCGCTGGCATTGCAGCGTCAACGACCGTCGCAGCTCCTGACCGCCACCGGCTATATCGCCGTGGGTCACCTACTGTCACTAGTGGTCATAATGGGAGCATTGCTGGCGGTCGGGGCGTTTCTTCCCTTGCAGTGGGTGAGGCTGGCGGCGGGTGCGATTCTGCTCGGGTTCGGCATCTACCGGATCGTGCTGTACTACCGCCATCCTCGTTGGGTGGGTATGAATATCGGTGGCCGCGACCTGATCATATGGTCATTTTTGATGGCAACCGCCCCACGGCGCCGGCCTGATGCTGGCTCCGTTGGTGCTGGCGCTGACCGACCGGGTGGTCGCATCGGGGGTTACCGGCGATTTGGGCGAGCACGGGCTGTTCCTGTCGCTGGCCGACGCCCCGGCGTGGTGGGTGTTAGGGCTGCTGACTCACACGGCGGATGCTGACGGCCATGCTCATCGCCGCCGCGATTGTGTACTATCGCGTGGGGTTGGCCTTCCTGCGTCGGGGGTGGATCAACCTGGACTTGCTCTGGGCCGGGTCGCTGGTGCTGGCCGGCCTCGCCACGCTGGGTTGGGCCTTGCTGGGTTGAGCGCGGTCCACGATGACCAGTGTGAAGGCAGCGTGGGTTGCGAGCAGGGCCTGTCGTTTGTCGGCGGTCATTTGGGTGGTCGATTTATGGCGAGCCTGTCGAAGCTCGGGCGAGTGGCCCTCGAACTAGCTTGGGGTTGTCCTTCGACAGGCTCAGGATGAACGGGGGGTTTTCAACGGACAATCGCCAAACGATGGGTTACGACCGTCAGGCGATGGGTTGCGACGGTCAGGCGGTGGGTTACGACGTTGACCTCACGCCTACCAACTGTGTCATTGCGAGCGCAGCGCGGCAATCTCGTCGCCGTAGCAACGGCGGTTCGCCGACGTGTGTGCAACCTCATCGAGATTCCCGCTCGTCCTGAGCCCGTCGAAGGACGCTCGCAACGACAGACTATAGTGGGTACGGGTGAGCGACGTTGGCTTGTTGACGCCCGCTCGCAGGCGATGCTAACCTCGGGCACTATCGAAGCCTACTCGGCACGCACGAATGGTGAACGTGGCAGCTATGCGCGGCGCATCAGTTGGTAACGCTCGCCCCAACGGAGGCATCATCCAATGAAGGCAGCAGTATTGCGAGAAGTGAACCAACCGGTGGTGATTGAGGACGTGCAGGTGGACGCTCCGGCGTCCCGCGAAGTGCTGGTGCGTACCGGAGCATCAGGCGTGTGCCACAGCGACCTGCACTTTGTGGAAGGTTTGTACACGACGCCAATGCCATGCGTCCTGGGGCACGAGGCGGCTGGCATTGTGGAGGCGGTGGGAGATCAGGTTGGCTACGTGAAGCCGGGCGATTCGGTCATCATGTGCCTCTCGGTGTTCTGCGGTATCTGCGAATACTGCATGCGCGGCCAACCTTACCTGTGCACCAAGACTGCCGTGACCCGCGGCGCGAACGATCCGCCCAGGCTGCGTCGGGACGGTGAGGCGATTACCCAGTTCGCGCAGCTGGGCGCGTATGCTGCCGAAATGCTGGTGCATGAGAATGCTCTGGTCAAGGTGGACAATGACATACCGTTCCCCCAACTGGCGCTGATTGGATGTGGCGCTACCACCGGACTGGGCGCGGTGCTGAACACGGCGCAGGTTGAGCCGGGGAGCACCGTGGCGGTGGTGGGTTGCGGCGGCATTGGCATTCACTGCGTGCAGGCGGCGGCGCTTGCCGGCGCGTTGCGCATCATCGCCGTCGATACCACCGAGGACAAGCTTTCGCTGGCCCGGGAGTTCGGCGCAACGGATGTGATCGACGCCAGTTCGGGCAACGTGGCGGAACGCATCATGGACCTGACCGACGGCGGCGTTGACTATTCCTTCGAGGCCATCGGACTCAAGCAGACCGCCGAGGACTGCTACAACATGCTGCGTCCCGGCGGCGTCGCCACCATCATCGGTATGGTACCGGAGGGCGTGAAGATCGAGATTGACGCCGGCAACTTCCTGCGCCGAGGCGCGCCATCCAGGGTTGCACCATGGGATCCAACCGGTTCCGCACCGATATGCCCCGGTACATGGAGTTCTACCGGCAGGGCCGCCTCAAGCTGGACGAACTGGTCAGCCAAGAACTGGCGCTGTCAGAAATCAACAAAGCCTTCGCCGACATGAAGGCGGGCAGCGTGCGCCGCAGCGTCATTACCGACTTTGAGGGGTAGGTCATCCCAATGGTCCGTCGCAAATTTCGGAGGAAATATGATCGGGTTTGAGCAGGGTTTTGCCGATACTGAGAACGCCGCCGCCGCAGCGAGCAAAACCGGCACCGCCGTAACCAAGTCGGCCCGGTCACTGGAAAAAGCGGCCAAAACCGGCAGTATAAACGCCATTCGCCGAGCCCAGGCGGACTTGAACGCTGCTTTATGCACGCTGACGCAGGAAGTCGAAAACGCTGTTCAAGCTTGGCCCTTTCAGCCTGATGAAGAGGAAGCCTATCTCCAACAACATTTTGCCGCGGAACTGCTCCAGGTGGCCGCCCAGAAGGGACTAGATATTCGTGAGCACGATCAGCGGTTAATCGCCCACCCATCCATCGTGAGCGTGTCGCCAGCCGGCCGCGCAGTGCGAGTCGATAAAAAGCAAGTGTCAACCGTCCGGCCTTCTCACTTGGTATCGCTATTGCTGGCGAATCAAGAGAAACCGGCCCGCTTCAACGGGCGCAATGTCCTGGAGGCGATCTACAAAGCCTACCAAATGCTGGCAGGCACCGGGGCTCCACTACGTCGCACCGAGGGCAGACAGCTACCTGCGATTCCGTTAGCCAACATCTACGAATCGCTCACCTTGATGCCGGGCTCAGGACGTGAATACAGCCGTACAGATTTTGCCCGCGACCTGTACAGACTTGATACCGATGGCCCCCAAGAAACCCGATCAGGGGCGCAGCTTCGTTTCCACAGCGGTCGCCAGAGTAACATCGCTTTTGTGGATCCGGGCGGCCACCTCGTCACCTATCACAGCGTCGCCTTCTCAGAGGTTCGTAATGGATAACGCGATGCCGCTGCAACAATGGGTGGATTTCTTGGGCTCGGAATACCTGGGGTCGTTCATCAAGGACGGTGGGGCGGCTGTCAAATTCGCGGCTACGCTCGATGATTCTGCCAATGATTTGGCGCTTACGCTGGCCGAGCAATCCAGAAGCCGCGGGTACACGTTCGTGGATATCAACGCCTTGCATTCCAGAGTGCACATGCCGCAGGACATTTTCTTTACGATGGCCAAACAATTGGATTGGCGGCTTCTGGCTCGCCGCACCATCATTGAACTCGCCAAAAGCCGGGAATTTCTGATTGACGGCATTGACCCATCAGAAGAAAGCAACATTTACATGGCTATTGGGCAGGCGAACCAACTGGTTGGGGCGATGGTACTCCAGACTTTGCGAGTGGATATACACGCCGTGTGTTCCAGAACCGCAACATGGCACGGGATTTCCGAGTTGCAATGGCTCAACTTTGTCTCGCTGAGGACTCGGGGGAGAGCGATGGTTCTTACAATGGACAGCCGCTAATAGACTGGTTGACCGGAGAAAACACCCGAATCAGCAACGTCCGTCATTTCTCCGTTCATACGCCCATTAACCGCAACTCGGCGCGCCATTTCATTGAGTCGGCCTTCTACTGGATCAACTACCGCCGGCTATACCGGTGTCGTTCTTATCCTGGACAATACGCGGGTCACATTAGCCCGAAACCCGAGGGATGGCACTAGATTCTACAGCAAAGCGATGGCAATGGAGCATTATGAGCTGCTGCGGGAGCTGATTGACAGTGCTGATCGACTCAAAGGCGTTCTTGTAGTAGTGGCTGCTAGCCCTGATTTTTTGGACGAAGATACCAACTCTAAGGGCTTCGGTGCTTACCCCGCATTGATGACGCGGGTAATGAACGACGTTCGCGACAAGAACCTGGTCAATCCAATGGCATCGTTAGTCCGCCTATATGATACGGAGGGAGAGCAATGACCTTGGTGGTTGAACAATCGGATCGGTTTAGGTGCCGGCAGGCGTTAGAAGCTCTGCGGAACGGTGTACCCAACAGTGCCGCGGTGGAGATTCTGGGCTGCAATCGCCCAGAAGTTGAGGATAGGTTTGACGACCTTTTGTTGCACGCAATCGGTGCCGAATCACCACCGGAAGGTGCTTTGGGGATGCTAGTGTCAGGAGATTTCGGTTCCGGGAAATCGCACTTGCTTTCTTACTTGGAGCATCGGGCGTTGAAGGAAGGGTTTGTATGCAGTCGGGTAGCCGTCAGCAAGGAAACCCCGCTGCACAACCTGGGGCGCGTTTACACTTCTGCTATCCAGCACGCTCAACTCCCCGGTCGCACCGGCCAGTTAATGGAGGAGATGGCCGACAAAATTAACGCCCAAACCCCTGATTATGATCGGTTCTCCCGTTGGCTAAACGTTGACGACAATGGCTTGCACCCAAATTTTCCTGCAACCATGATGATATACGAGCGTTGCAACGACTTGGAGTTGCCGAGTGAGATAGAGTCCTTTTGGGCTGGTGATTCCATCAGTGTCGCCAGAGTTAGGGAAGGTCTGAGAATTATCAATCAGCAGGGCAGTTTCAACTTCCGTGCGCCCAGAGCTGCTGACTTGCCGGCTCAACGTCTGCGTTTTGCGACAGAGCTTATCAAAGGCTGCGGCTACAAAGGATGGGTGGTGTTCGTGGACGAGTTGGAACTGGTAAGTTCGTATAGTTTATTGCAACGCGCCCGGTCTTATGCCGAGCTAGCCCGTTGGTTGGGCAAAACCACCGACGAACAGTATCCCGGGTTGATTGTCGTGGGTACGGTAACCCCGGGTTTCGAGTCGCAGGTTTTGGGGCCCTTTGGCACAAACGATCGGGACGTTGCTGGCAACCGACTGCGGGAACGCAACGAGCCGACGCAGGCGGCTAGAGCCGAGGCAGGCGGCTAGAGCCGAGGCTGGTATGCGAGCCCTGGAGAGGGTACACGACCTTGTTGCAACCTCCAGACTCTGACGAACTGCGCGAGACCCTGGAGAAGTTGCGACGGCTTTATGAACATGCATACGAGTGGGCCACACCTGCGCCGGCTATCAGGTCGGATGGCACAACGTTACAGAACACGATCCGATATCGCATCCGCGCCTGCATCAACGAATGGGACTTGCGGCGCTTCTATCCAGATGCGCAGCCCGAAACAGAAGGACAAGGGTTTGAATACGGATATGAAGAAATGCCGGAGATGGAGCAGGAAGTTAAGGATGACGATTAATCCCCTAACTGACCTCCGTCCACAGGTATGAATCACTATGTTCGTAATCGGTACCGCCGGGCACGTTGATCACGGCAAGTCCACCCTGGTTAAGGCATTGACTGACATTGACCCCGACCGTCTGCCTGAAGAGAAGGCACGGGAAATGACGGTGGATTTGGGCTTTGCCTGGATGACGCTGCCCAGTGGCCGGGAAGTCAGCATCGTAGACGTGCCCGGCCACGAGCGGTTCATCAAGAACATGCTCGCCGGAGTGGGGGCCATTGACCTGGCGCTGCTCATCGTGGCGGCCGACGAAAGCGTGATGCCGCAGACCCGGGAGCATCTCGCCATTCTGGACATACTGCGCATCAGGCGCGGGTTGGTAGTCATCACCAAATCGGACCTGGTGGATGAAGAACTGGTGGAGCTGGTCAAGGCGGAGGTGAGGATGTCCTGGAAGCTACGTCTTCGCCGGCTGCCAGATGGTCGCGGTGTCAGCGTACACCGGCGATGGCCTGGAAGAACTGAAATCGGCCATTGACAACATCCTGCACGATACCGACGTTCGACTGGATCTGGGTCGGCCCGTCTGCCAATCGACCGCAGTTTCACGGTGAGCGGATTTGGCACCGTGGTTACGGGCACACTCATCGACGGTTCGATGGCGGTGGGTCAGCAGGTTGAACTGTCCCCGTCGGGCGTGCAGGCCCGGATCCGCGGTTTGCAGAGCCACCAGTCCCGAGTCGATGCCAGCGCGCCGGGCGTGCGTCTGGCGCTGAACCTGTCGGGAGTTTCCCGCGAGGATGTGCTGCGTGGCGAGGTGTTGACCAATCCGTGCTGGCTGCGAGCCACGCGCCGGTTTGACGCTCGCCTGCGGATGGTGCGCGGAGCGCCCCACGCCCTGAAACACAACGAGGGCGTTACCTTCCACCTGTTTACCAGCGAAACTACCGCCCGCGTCCGGTTGCTGGACGCTGACCGGTTGCAACCCGGAAGCGAAGGCTGGGTGCAAGTGCTGCTGGACGACCCGGTGCCAATGGTGAAGGGGGACTTTTTTGTCCTACGTTCATCGGAGGACACGCTGGGAGGCGGGCAGATTGTCGACCCAAACCCTCGGCGGCGGCACCGCCGTTTCGCTCCGGAAGTATTGGACAGGCTCACTACCCTGGACGCCGGCGCCAGCGAGGATGTCATCATCACGCTGGCCGACCAACTTGGGCCGTGCGACGTTCGAACCCTGTCCCAGCGTTCCAACCTGTCGGAAGCGGAAGTGCTGGCGCGCCTGTCCGAATTGACCGAGCAGGGTGAAGTGGTGGCCCTGGGCGAGTTGGGCGTGCAGGCTGATGCGGTGGTCTATTCGCGGCGGGGCTGGGACATCGTTCGCAATCAGGCACAGGTGGCGTTGCAGACCTACCATAACCAGTACCCGCTGCGGAAGGGGGCGCCGCCGCAGCAACTGCGTAGTCGATTGAACTTGCCTCAACCGGTTTACGTCCGTGCGGCCGTGCGGCTCGCCGACGAGGGCTTTGCCATTGAAGATGGCGGACTGATACGCGCTCCAGACCACGTGATTGAGTTGAGCGATAAGCAACAAGGCGACGTTGCAAATTACCTGGAATCACTGGCCGCCGAACCGTGGTCGCCGCCCACCGATCGGCCTGTCGATCCTGAATTATTGAGTTATCTGCAAGACCGTGGAGACGTGATCAAAGTCAACGATTCAGTGGTGTTCACCACGGCGGCCTATGAGGATATGGCGGGCCGCATCGTACAGCACCTGCAAACCAACGGCAGCGTTACCGTCGCCGACGCCCGCACCATATTCGGCACCAGTCGCAAGTACGTTTTGCCATTGCTGGAGTATCTGGACCAGCAACGCATCACCCGACGCGTGGGCGACGAACGGGTGCTACGGTAGCTGTCAATCCGGCGGGCTACTATCTACTGGAACTCGGTCTACTGGAATGGGGCCTACTGGAATCCGATCTACTGGAGTTCGGTTGCTGTATGAGCCTTGACTTGGGCAAAACCCTGGGCCAACTGCAGGCCGCGATGGGCGACGTTTCGGAGACCGCGCGGATGCGCCGTCGTCGGTTCGCCGACCGCATTGTGCAAGGGTGGAACGTCTCACCCGATGAGGCCCGCACTCGTACAGAAACCGCCGGCGTTACGGAATTCATCGTCGCCCGCACGGGTGTGGAAGGTTTGCTGGCCAGCATACCGCCACCTGCCGTCCCACATGATTGGTCGGCGGTTTCAGTGGATGGTTCGCACATCGATGTCGATCGTCATCTGCCCCTGTCGTGCTACCTGATCAACCTGGGCGGGTGCACCATCGTCTACGGCGACAATCCCGGGTGCGATTTTTTCAGCGAACCAACGCTGGCGGTGCGCGAGGCGGAGCTATACCTGGCGCCCGACGCAGGTCGGACTGCTGATACACTGATTGCCGGTCCGCTGTTGGGAGCGCTGCGTACCGTGCGCGAAGTGGAAGGTCTGGCGGACGCCGTTGCCGCGGCGGATGATTCAATGCCCGTGCTGGCGGTGCTGGACGGAACGCTGGTGTTCAGGGACCTGCAGTCCGGCAACTACCCGGGCTATGTGGTGCAGCGACTGATCAATGAACGGCTCGAACCGGCTCTGGAACGGCTGCGCCTGGCATCGGAACGTTCTGGAAACGTGATCGTGGCGTCATACACGTCCCGTCCCCAAACCACCGAGGCTGGTGGGCGCTTTGCGAGTCTGCCTCTGCGGGCGCGACCTGGTACGGTGCGCCGAGCATTGCAGTTTGCGCACGTTCGGTCAGACCGCGGCGAATGGTTGCGGCAGGATCGACGGACCGGAGATTGTTGAAACAGTGCTGGAACCCGGCCACCGGTCGCCGTTGTATGAATCCGGCCGGCGTGCGCCGCGTTCCTCTTTTGGGTACACGTGGGTGCACTTTTACTATGTGCAGGCCGGTGACGAGATAGCCCGCGTGGAAGTACCGCACTGGGTGGCGCGGAACCCGTATTTGCTGAGCATGAGCCACGCGCTGATCGTGAGACAATGCGAGCTGGGGAAGGGTTACCCCGTGGTAGTCTCTGAAGCGCACGAACAGGCGGTGATTACCGGCCGGGACCGCCATGAGTTCCGCAATGTGGTGCTCAACGAATTGGAGAAACATGGTTTGCCGTCGATTGAATCGGCCAAAACCGTATCCAAGCGACGCCCCTGGGTATAACGTGGGGCTCGAGTCCTAACTAGGCGACTGTTCGAATCGAGGCGGAGGTATATCAAATGGGAGAGCTCAATGACCTGGCGGCATCGGTGGCCGCATTGCTGAAACAGCGCGGGGATTCGCTCGCGGTATCGGAATCCTCCTGCGGGGGATTGATTTCGGCGGCGCTCGTGTCCATACCGGGCGCGTCCGACTACTACGTGGGCGGGTCGGTGGTGTACACGCGGGTGGCCCAAAAGGGGCTGTTGCAGGTTCCAGATTCCGCGATGGAAGGCCAGCGTGCCAGCACCGAGTTCTACGCATTGCTCAACGCCCGAACATCCCGGGAGGCTTTGGGCACCACGTGGGGTCTGGCAGAGACCGGAGCCAGTGGGCCGACGGGCAATCGTTATGGAGACGACGCCGGGCACGCCTGCTTTGGTGTCGCCGGCCCGGTGGAGCGATCCCAGACGCTGGAAACCGGCAGCGGCGATCGGGAAGCCAATATGTGGGTCTTCGCGAAGGCGGCGCTGGCTCTGCTGGAAGAGGCGCTCAAAGCAGCCTAACCCGCCACAAACGCCGGGAATGCACGGGCGATTGGCGAGCACAAACGATTTCTGCCAGGTCGCCGCGCGCTGATCCGGTTGGAGCCGAGACGCGCGCCGCTGGTCGGCGCTGGTGCGGCTTCAGGTAGTCGCTCAAATCTCCTGCGCTCCTGAACTGGGCTGCGGTGCGCAGAGAACTCGGCGAGCGATGGGCTGCTCCGCCGAAGTTTTTCGACCTGCTCTCCAATCACGTTGACCCCTGCCGCGCCGGTGGTGGCGTAGGAGCCGTGGAAGGCAAAGTAGGCTTGATTCAAGCGCCGGATGGGGTAACCATTCTCAACGAAGGTTCGCCGCCGCTCTTCCATATAACGTTCAGCGCCGGTTACATCGCCGGCAGCGAGCAGTGCGTCGACCCTGATGCGTGTGTCGCGCATTTCGGCCTGAAAATCAAACTGGGCAGGTGCGGTCGATTCGACGGATGGCTCACTGTTTGTCCCGCTCGGACTAGACTCGACCTTCGGATTTCCTGGCGGAGTTTCCTGCAAGCGCTGCCCGGCCAATCGCCCCAACTCCTGGCCGGCTATGGTTGCAACCGTTTCGTTGAGGGTAAGCAAATCGCCTCCCTGGAAGTATCTCTGGCCGAGCGGACGGAACCAAAGCCATTGATGCACCCACTCGTGGGCGATGATTTCCAGCACGAAGTCCATGCCGGCGTCGGGCACGGTTATCGAAGGAAAGAATGCAATGCCGCCAGTGTTGACCACCAGCGCCGACAGGTCGGTACGTTTTTCCAGTTGGGTTTCGATGGCAATGCGTTGCTCCGTGCTCAGCCCAGTGCGCAGCAACATCTCCTCTCCTCGCTCGATGCGATCGCGAGGTGATGTAATCAGGACGGTCGGTGACCCGACCAGGGCGGTGTCCACCGGCGGAAACAAGCCGGCCCAGGTGCCAATCCCCTGTGATCGCAATGCGCCAGCCACCGCCGATTCCAGCGTCTCTTCCACATCAGGGCGCAGTTCGTCCTGTCGCCGTCGGAGGTCGGTTCGCTCGTTGACCAACGCCGCAATCTCAGGCTGGTTGGTTGCAGAATGTTCGTCCCGCGCTGACAGGTAGATTAGCCGGCGATCAATCCAGCGCAGCCGTTGGCCGTTGGCGAAGAACTCGGCCGCGTACTCTATTGACGTTGCTGGACTCGAACCACCCAACCTGGACCGTGGGGCGTTGAGCAGGCGATGAACCCACTTATCGGGCAAATTGGACAATTCCCAGCCAACCACACTCAGTTGGTGTCCGGCGGCGGCGATTTCCAGGTCGCCGGGTTGGAAGTCGCTGGCGCATAGGCCGATGATAGCAGCCAGGGCCAGCCACCCCAGTATCCTCCGTATGAACCTGGCAAACCGCCGGCGTTTGGCGCGCGGGCCGGGATTACCGTCCGATGCTAGGCGGTGAGGCATGGATTCGCCTATTCAGCTGGCGCGTTGGCCGACCGGTTTACGACCTGGTGGTCTCATGCGTACCCACTTTGTCATTGCGAGCGTAGCGTGGCAATCTCGTCGCCGTAGCAACGGCGGTTCGCCGACGCGTGTTCAACCTCATCGAGATTGCCATGTCGCTATGCTCCTCGCAATGACAGATTGAAGTGGGTACCCGTGCCCCTGGTGGTTCCTTGACACCCGTCCCGGCCCGTACCATAATTTGGCACCGCGCAACCGTGCAGCGTGGGCGTATGCGTGTGCGCCGCATGGTGCTTTTCAGCCCGGAGGTTTCCCTTGTCCATGAGCTCCTTTACGTTGACCGACGCGATGCGCGAACGGGCGCTTGGCGTAGAAAGCGAGCCGATTTCCATGGATATCGAAAAGGGCCACGTTGCCCGGTTCGCCGAAGCTATCGGCGATCACAACCCGGCATACACCGAAGGCACGCCCCAGAGCGGCGGGATCATCGCGCCGCCGACCTTTCTGCGTGCCATGCACGCGGTGCGTCCGGCGCTGCCCTTCGACGTACCGTTTGTCCGCCTTTTGGACGGCGGCAGCGATTGGGAATATTTCGAATCGGTGCGGGCCGGGGACACGATCACTGCGGTGGGTCGCCTGGAAGATATCCGCGAACGTACCGGCAGCATCGGACAGATGTTGATTTCGACCATTAAGATTACCTACCGCAATCAGTCCGACGCCATCGTGGCAACCCAGACTAGCACTTCGATTCGTTACTGACCACAGTGGTTCGCGCGCCAACGCTGCCGCTGTAAGCATTTTCAATTCATTGGGGGTAGATATGGGGGACCAAGTATATTTCGAAGACATATCTGAGGGTATGGAACTGCCAGCTGAAGTTACCCAACCGACTACCCGTCAGTTGGTGCAATACGCTGGCGCCTCTGGAGACTTCTACGAAATCCACTACGATAAGGATTTCGCCCAAAACACCGGTCTAAGCGGCGTGATTATTCACGGCGCATTGAAAAACGCACTGCTGGGCTCGTTCGTCACACGGTGGGCTGGCCCTGAAGCCGCGCTGCGTCGGCTCACCTGCCAGTACCGGGGGATGGACTACCCGAACGAACCAATTACAGCCAAGGGCCACGTCAGCCGCGTATATCAGGAGGGGCGTCAGAACCTGGTTGATTGCACCATCTGGCTGGAAAACCCACAGGGCCAGCAAACTACGCCCGGCACCGCCACGGTAGCTCTGCCGAGTCGCAACGGTTAGCCAGGGCCGTTACCCAAACCAACGTAATCAAAAGGAAACATTAACTATGCCCAATAATCTGGAAGGCAAGGTAGCGATTGTCACCGGCTCAGGCCGTGGCGTGGGACGGGGTATCGCGAAGCTCATGGCCGAAGAGGGCGCCAAGGTGGTCGTAGTAGACCCCGGCGTCAACGTCGACGGCACTGGCTACGACCAGTCGATCGCCGAGGTTGTGGTCAGCGAGATTCGGGACGCTGGCGGTACCGCCGCCGCCTGTACCGAGTCCGTGGCCACCATGGAAGGCGGCGAGAGAATCGTGCAGACCGCCATCGACAACTACGGTCGGCTGGACATCGTGGTTTGCTGTGCGGGAATTCTCCGCGACCGCATGATTTTCAACATGACGGAGCAGGAATGGGACGACGTGATTGCCGTCCACCTGAAGGGCACGTTTACCGTGGTGAAGCACGCCTGCATCCTGTTCAGGCAGCAACGCTCCGGTCGGGTCATCACCTTTAGCAGTCAGTCGGGCCTGGTTGGCAACAGCGGGCAGGCGAATTACGGGGCTGCCAAGAGCGGAATCGCCGGGTTTACCAAGGTGGTGGCCAGGGATATGGGCCGTTACGGCGTAACCGCCAACTCGATTGCGCCGCGTGCTACCACGCGCATGATCGGCGCGATCCCAGATTCAGCGGCCGAGATCCGCGCGCGCGGCGGCGTGGCTTCGCTGTCCGGTTCGGACGCGAGCACGAATGACATACAGAATCTGGATCCGGAAGGAATTGCGCCGTTCGTTACCTACCTGGCATCCGATTACGCCAGCAACATCAACGGGCAAACCTTCCTGGGTGTATGGCGACACGGTGTCGCTGATGTCCCAGCCTCGACCCGAGCGCGCAATCTGGACGGAAAGCGGACATTGGGACATGGACGAGCTGTCGGAGCGAGCCCGTAACTATCTGACTGCCGGTATCGATAATCCGGCGCCGCCGAGGGCATAAGGCAATAAAGCCTGCAGTGCCTCGGAAACTTAATACACAAGGATTTTACAATGCCAATACTTGAAGACAAGGTAGCAATAGTCACGGGCGCCGGGCGCGGCATCGGTCGCGGGGTGGCCAAGCTGATGGCCGCTGAGGGCGCCAGCGTCGTGGTTTGCGACCTGGGCGTAAACGTGGACGGCACCGGCGCGGACGTGTCGGTGGCGCAGCAGGTGGTCAACGAGATCGGCGAGGCTGGCGGCAAGGCCGTGGCCTGCACCGAATCGGTGGCCCTGATGGATGGCGGCGAAAAAATTGTACAGACTGCCGTCGACAATTTTGGCAAGTTGGACATCGTGGTAACCGTGGCCGTATTCTCTGCTGCGATATCTGCATGGTTGTCAAGCTGTCGAGAGAATACTGGGGACGACGTGATCGCCGTTCACCTGAAGGGCACCTTCACCGTGGTGAAGCACGCCAGCATTCTGTTCCGGCAGCAGCGTTCGGGTCGCATCATCACCTTCAGCAGCACCTCCGGTTTGTACGGCAACTCGCGCAGCGAACTACGATCCGGCGCGCAAAGATGGGCATCGTCCTGGGTTACCCGTCGTTTGCGGCGCGGGACCTGGGGCGTCTCACGGTGGTGACCGCCTCCCACGCCATTTCGCCGTCTGCCAGCACCCGAATGACGACCAGCGTGCCCGACGAAGCTCGGGCGTTGCGCTCGGCTCGCGGCATCGCTGCCGGCGGTGGCTTGCGCGTAGTCCAAGACGGCGAGAGGACGAATGAGGGACGTGCGCCGATGTTGGCTGCCTGGTTGGCGTCCGACGAGGCCGCCCACGTCAACGGCCACGTGTTCCACGTTACTGGCGGCTTGGTAACTCTGCTCAACGAGCCGGAACCGGTGCGAACCATCCAGAAAGATAGCCGCTGGTCGGTAGATGAACTGGCCGCCGTGTTCCCGGCTACCATCGGCATCGAGTTGTACAACCCGGCGCCGGCTCCGCCACCGTGTCTGCTTAGCTACCATTTCTCTAACCCCCATCTTTACAGACATCATTCCAAATACCCGGCCGCCCGGCGTAAAGTCAGCGGCAAGGACAATCAACAATGTTCAATAGTTTTAGCGCTTCTTACGCCGGCCACGTGGTTGACGACGATCTGGGACTGCAAGGAACGCCGCCAACGATCGCTGGTATGCCAACGAGCATGGCGGAAGCCTTTGAATGGGCGCTGGATTTTTCCCGGCACCTTGAGGCCAATGGCTATGACGAATTCTGGATGGCCGAGCATCACTTCCAACCCGAAGGCTACGAGTGTATTCCCAACCTGCTGATGCTTGGACTTTATCTGTCGTGCAACACGCAACGGCTCAAGTACGGCTGCGGGTTCAACATCACACCAATGTGGCATCCGCTGCGGTTGGCCGAGGATTTCGCCATGGCCGACATTCTGTCCGGAGGCCGCATCGTGTTCGGCGTGGGACGTGGTTACCATTCTCGGGAGGTTGAAACTTTCGGATCACCCATGTTTGACGGCGACGCCAACCGAGAGTTATTCGAGGATCAGGTTGAGGTGATGGTCAAGGCCTTCAGCGAGGAGTCTTTCTCCCACCAGGTCAAGCACTACACCATCCCGGCGCCGGTACCGTACCGTGGCTACACCCTGGAGAAGCTGAGCCTGGTGCCGCGTCCGGTGAGTCAGTCGGTCGATATCTGGCAACCACTGGTGTCGGGTAATCCAAAGGGCGTGGATTTCATGGGTCGCATGGGCATCAAGGCGATGTGGCCAACACTCCGGAGCCGGCGCTGGGCGAAAGGCTGGAAATGTACCAGCAATCCGCCGCCAAGCACGGCCGTGAGCTGGCACTGGGCGAGGACATCGCGCTGGGGTTCCGGTTCTTCCTGGCGGAAAACCGCGAGAAGGCCATCGAGAAGGCCCGCCCTTACTTCGAGGAAGCGATGAAGTTCGCCGCGCCCCTGGGTTTGATGCGGCTGGAACCCGAACAGATTGACGCGGTAGCCAACCCTGGCCTGCGTCGCGGCGTCGAGCTGCCGACGCTAGAATCGGCGGTCGAGACCGGTACCTGGCTGTTGCGGTTCAGCTGATGATCTGGTCAATCATCTGAAAGAGGCTGAAGCCAAATATCCCGGCCGAGCGCATCAATCTGTGTTCGTCAGGGGAATGCCCCGCGAGGTGCTCAAGACCATGCTTTTCCCGTTTTCGCACAGGATGTAAATGCTCTCTTTCACCTCGTAATTTTCGCCGCGAACAGCTGACGACCGCAATTGATGACGCCCCTTGTCAACCCAGGGGCCGCATTTTATTGGTGTCGTGCGCCAGAATTTTCAGGTCGACGTCACTCTGTGACATACTGGATGGCTGACGTGGGACACCCTTGATAAGCCTGATGTCCCGGCACCGCTCACGATCAGGAACAACACACCGCCGTAATCCTAGCCAGATCACATCTCGTGCGCCAAGATGGTGATCAGGCCATGGTAATCAGACGCCTCTCGGGAGGCGAAGATCACGGTATTGCCAACACCAAAGCCGTCCAGCCGCCAGTCGCTGCTGACGCCGAACGCCAGCCATCCCGACTACGAAGGCTTCTACTCCGAGTAGATGACGCGCTTGCGCCGGGTCTATGGCGTCCGCGCTGACGGCGGCTGGTTCTGCTGCGCAGTATCGGAGCGGCCAACCACACAAAGAGAATGCCAGCGTTCCAGACCACCAGGCCATCCCCCAGCCAGCCACTGCATCCAGCGACGGGCTGTTCCGGGTGCGCGCCGAGGCAGCAACCACAAACGCGGTGGGTGGCCGGAGACTAACATCGGAGCCAGCTCAAAGCTGGAGGTCTAGTCCGATGTGATTGCAAATCGTGGGAACTGTACTGCCGGCGGACCACCCGCAGCCGCCCGTTGATTTAGCTTCTTCGTCCAGCAGGGAAGCGTGGCTCCAGGCCATTGTGTCGAGCGTTAGCGGACAAACCTGTTCCGGCACCATCCGGCGTAGTCCAGCAGTGGATGGCGTTTCACCTCGCGGGTACCATTTGCCATTCCGTCTAGGGCCGGGCGAGCAAACCAGTATGGGGAGTTGATGCGGACGACGTGATTTTCGCTGATTGTAACTAGATGCCGAATCTGGCTGCTTGCTGCTGCATAACGTACGTTGCTTGTGCCCTATTTGCTGGGAGGTTCTGTCGAGAGTTGCGGAAGTAGACGAACCTGATTGCACCGTCAGCCCTGCAACTTGGTGTTGGGGTGCGTTGCTATCGTGTCGTGGTAATATCAGTGGATGCACCGCTGGATGGCAATGGTTTCGTCGCGGCGCTGGTCCGGTGGAGATAATCTGCGCCTGACAGCACCAACTCCTCGATCCGGCGAACAGTACCCCGTAGGCCAGAGCTTTGTCGGCACGTGGTCGGTTGCGGGGTCGTGTTCTGGCGGTGGGGTCGTCCACACGGCATCTCCTCGTAGACGGGCTCACACTCGGTTTTTCCACAACACGCCCGTTTGGCTGGGAAGCGGTCGACATCCTGGCCGTGCGCGCAGGTACCCACGCAAAAATTTTTTCACGAGTCCATGCCGTTTCGAGATGTCCCAGGCGGGTCATTACCATCTGTGAACGTTCTCCCTTCGGTATTCGGGCGGCATCCGCATCAAACCAGGCGATCGACGAGGCCGGCCTGTGGTGGTTCCCGTACTCGTGGGCCTTTTCGCGCGGTCTTCACCGGACTGGTCGACATCTCGGTGCATCGGCCCGCCGCCGACGCGGGTTGAGTAGCTTTTGGAAAACGCCCACCACGCCTTTTGATTCCTGCTGGTTTAGCCCGGCCGGTAATTGCCTCCC